TTGAGGGTTGTTTTCCATTCATTTTCAAGTTGAATTCAAATTTGATAACAACCACTACGCAAATCGATCTTAGAGAAAATAATAGCACCGTGCAATTGATCCAAAAAATCACTAAGTCTAGGAATGGGAAAATGATACAAGCCTTTCTCCAAAAGTTGTTTGACTAGATGTTGTAATTCCTTAAGCTTTTGCGAACTCATGCGATAAGCCGACTTGTTTGGAATTATAGAACTAGGGATGAAATCAATGGCATGATGAATATCTTACATTGGTGGTAGTCCATGGGGTATCTCATCAGGTACAACATCACAAAACTCTTCAATTATGGGTTTGACATATTTAGATAAGGGTGAAGATACTTCATTCTCCTCACAAACTAATAAAAGGTATAAGAGGCTTGACTCATGATAAGCTTTGTTTAAGCCATACACAATAATGAGTGCTTTATCTTCCTCTTGTCTCTTTGGTCAGTCTTCTGGCTTTAATGGAGTCAACATAATTTTTACTCCATCTTTGATGAAGGACTAAGTATTCTTATATCCGTCAGGGTGAGCTCGATGATCATATTGCCACAAGCGTCCCAACAATAGGTGGCATGCATTCATTGGGATAACATCACACCAAATTTCATCGTGATACTTATTACTAATAGAGAATTGAACACAAAAACACTTTGTTATCTTAACTTCATTTCCTTTTCTCAACCATTGTAACTTGTAAGGATGAGGATGTACTTTAGTTGAAAGTTTTAACTTTTTCATCATGTAATTACCAATAACATTCTCACAGCTTCCACTATCAATAATGACATTACAAACCTTCCCTTGGGATGTGCACCTTGTATATAATATGTTGTGACAAAGCAAACTTTCATCTTTAATGATCATAGCAGTGTTGAGGCTACGACAAACAACAAGAGCTTCTCCATGGTCAACAAGAACTTCTTCTACCTCTTCGTTATTGAATATTTCTAGATCATCCTTTATTTCATCATTATATTCATCATAAACTAGTTCTAATTTTTCCAAACCCACATAATCTTCTTCATCACTTGAGCTACTATAGTTGAATCGAGCAGCATCATGTCTTGCAAGTTGCTCTTGTAATTCTTGAATTTGCTACCGTAGTTCTGCAATCTCGATCCCGTGATCATCTCTTTAACAATTTTGATGCCTTTAGGGCATTTTATTATATGGTGATGACAATATGGTGATGTAGAAAAAAAGATGATGATATAACCATAAAGCAATAAATAAAATTACTCGAACAAGAAGTATCATGTAACACTCCATACCCTTGTATAAGAGTCAATATGATCTCATTGACAAGACGGAGGATTGATGGACGTAAATTTAAGTTTGAAAGAGCAGTGATAGGTGAAAGGAATATTTTGAAATAAAATATTTCATACACGAGGACCTTATAACTAAATAATAATATTTTATCAAGGATGAATAAGCGAGATAGAAAGGCAATTCGGAAGTGAATCGAGACAAGTGAGAAATTTTGGAACTCGAGGAGTCAAGTGAAGGATTTTAAAATAAAATAATATTAAAATAATAATATTTTATCTGTGATTGAAATTAGTCATGAAGAAGGAGTATGTGACTAATCTAAGTGCAAGAGAAGAAGTAAGAATGAATTTCGAAGAAAAAAGACGTAAGCGAGGCCCACATGCCTTTATTAACCAAAGGATGAGTGAGTAAGTATATATTTAAATATTATCGTGACATTTCGATGAAGTGCGAATTAGATATTCTATTTGTACACATGTAAAGGAAGAAAGTGTTGGGTAAGGGCTAATCATGCATCAAATACAAATAAATACAGCGAAAATAGATTTAAGATTAAATTGCGCCTCACCTTCCTAAGATCTCTTTCATGCCGAATTGAGTACAAAATTAAATTACAAATAAAATATATATGTATGATTGTATCAAATTTACCTTAAAAACAAAGGTTGATGAATCTTTTGTTAAACCATCGATTTGCCTTCAAAAAGCTTAACCACCTTAGCCCAGTTATTGCAAACCAAAGCTGTCCAAGGAATCTTTGTGTAGCCTCTAATGGTGATCCACACTAATGAATTAGAAAATCCTTCTTTAAGGATTGGGAGTGCTATGCCTTAACAATGTGCTAGTAAAGATAAGTTTCATTAACTTATAATCCACACAAAATTATGAGGTTGAAAAGGAATCAAGTGAACAAAAACTGTTTTTCTTCACATAAGGAACGGTAAGAAAAAAAGTTTCTAATCTACCATTCTTTTCTTTTTAAGTCTTTTCTCTCTTATTTGGTTTAGAGGCTATAGCAAAGTATTTATACCTTGGATTAATTTTAAACCCTATTTACAAAACAATTTTATAATTACAAATTAATCTAATAATTTAAATAAATAATTTAATTAAGTCCTTAAGAAGCCCAATTAACTTAATTTTTAATTTAATCAATTAGGCCCAATAATTTAATTAAACAATTTAATCAATTAGGTACAAAAACTTGATTAAACAAATTTAATCAATTAGGCCCAATAACTTCATTAAACAATTTAATCAATTAGGCCCAATAACTTCATTAAACAAATTTAATCAATTAGGCCAAATAACTTAATTGTTTAATTTAATTAATTAGATCTAATGACTTAATTAAATAATTTAATGAATTAGGCACAACTTAATTAAACAGCTTTAATCAAATGCTTGAGATGCTCATAACTTCTAATTTGATTAAGTCCCACTTAATCACCTCTTCCATTTTATTTTCAACATTCATTTTAGGTGTGTCACCCATTAGGCTTTTAACATATTGGCAATGAACTCAACATATAATTCTTAAGTTAACCTTAGAATTAGATAAATTCAAAGTACTTTAATTTTATCGTTAATCAGGTTAACTACTTAGAGTTCATAGACCAAGATTAAGATCTAGCAATCCGTCATGGCCACCCAAATGTTGGAAGAGTCAAGATGGTTTGACTCAACCTTTCAGTGATCACCCTTTCAGTGTAATCCATTCCCTCATCATATATCCTGGAGATAATAAAAGTATGGTGTAGTGTCTACTCTTATTGATCTCCATATTCATTCTTAAAGTTTGATAATCAGCTTTATAAAAACTTATGAAACTCCTTTCATAATTTTCAAGTCACATTGGCCAAGGACTTCAATAAGCTAATATCAACCAAGAACAGTTAGGATATTTCCCCTGCATCACTTGAGGTGATAATTCCAATCTTGACCACTTATTTGCCTTCACATGCTTCATGTTATACCCAAAGGTATCCCATTTTGGCATCCTTGGTTAGGCACCGTAGGGATAAAATCAAAGCATAGCACTTCACACATAAGACAACCTAGTATCTCAAATCTAGGATGTGTATGTACCACAATGACACCATGAGAAATATTACATAACACTTGAGTGAAATACAAATGCACTTCTCATGGTGGGTCATGTTCAGTGAACTTGCTCTCCTAGGCAAGCACTACATTCTAGTTTCAAGTATCCCTATACTTCAACCTATGAGATCGGTTGCTTACCTCTCAAGTGAAGAACATAAAATGTACAATCTCTAGGCATCATTGATGTTCAGTCTCAATGATACATTGACCAGGAACATTTTTGAGATTACGCTTTGATGCATAAGAATCTCATAACTGCAACCCATTATAGTTTCCTTGCAAGGCATATTAATCTCATGGACTTCATCTAATTAGACTTTATAACTTGTTATAATTGATGTCTTATTGATGAAGAAAAACCTTTAATCATTCAACATGAATGATGTTGTTGCATGATTGGAATCAAGCGTTAACCAATTGCAATTGGCTGCAAGGCTCATCCCAACATCTCCCACAAGCATAGAGCCAATTGCTACCTCATCGTATGTGGATTCAAATCTATCTAGCAATCGTGTCTCCATGTAGACTCGTTTGTGCCCTTTAATGTGGTTAATTCCTTTTATCTATCTTTCTATGTATCACATTATATCATATTACTATATCTAGATCCATTGAGACCCAAGTTCTACTATTATGCCTCCATTGTTACATTAACAACGTCTAGAACCATTTTTTAGTTCCATGAATTAACGATCTAAATATCTTCTTATTTGAGCCCTTTCTAGTAATATGTATATCACTTTATTTATATACACGTGTAATCCCTTTCTCTCCTTGGGACAATTCCAACTGGACTATGTTGCATGCATCATATGTATGTGTCACTTTATGTTATGTCATTTGGCCCTTTCAACTTTTTATTGTCATTGGGCTCCCACTTTTTATTGGAGAGAAATATTCAAACTCTTTTGAATATTCCTTGAGGTATATACATCTCAATGTATGCTTGGAATCACATTGCTTTGGAATATCATAATGGGCTTTTATGTTGGAGAGATATGGACCAAATTATATTGCAATATGAAGTTGCTTTCTTTCTTGAACATTCATCTCTATGTTTTTGCTCTTAAGAAAGTTCCATTTTATATGAATCAATATTCAACCTTTTGATCAATACCTTTTGATCAATTGAACATAATTCATAATTGATCAAATATCATTGCAAGAATAAACATGAAGCATGGATAATTAAATGTGACATAATTATTCCAAATAATTATTCAAACTTGAAACATATAAGCTTCCACATCCAAATGCTAAAGACAAATGTTTCACCAGCCATTCCCATGGCAATTACATAATTAATGTTTCAAAAACATCCAAATAAATTATCCAGCATGTCAAGATAAATAGGAATGTAACCATCCAATGTAGCATTTAATGCTTTAGGTAGTCCATCCATGTGGTCACCTCCTGAGCCAAGATCCTACTCTTGTTTATCTTTGATCCTTGCAATATGCCAAAACATATGAGAATCAACTTAGAGGTATCATATACCTTTAATATATAAAGTAGAATTACTTAGCAAATGGTACCTGAATCATAAACTTCAATAAGTTTCTTTTTGTTGCTCACAATAGTAGGTACTCCTTGCAGTTCCTATTCCAATGCCCAAGTTTGCCACAATGATGGCAAAATATCTTTCTCTTTGTCCTTTTTGACACCTCTCTTAGGCTTCAGCACCTTCTCATTTTGAGATTTTACCTTCTTCCCTTTTTGGGCTTTCTTCTTCTGTTGTTTCGTATGAGCCTCAAAAGAAGAAACAAGAAGCAATGATCCTTTATCTTTCCTGATGGACCACTCTACCATGTTTAGCATATTCAAAAGTTCAAGAAAAGTGGCTTCCAATCGATTCATATGGAAGTTCAACATGAACTGACTAAAGCTGTCAAGAAGAGATTGTAGAACTAAGTCTATACTAAGCTCATGATCCATTGCTAATCCCAATTGTCCAAGTCTCTCGATGAGTTCAATCATCTTCAGCACATGGGGTCTAATAGAACTGCATTCTGCCATCATTCTAGAATAAGTATTTATGGAAGATCGTGCTCATCAATAAACCCTTAATCATGGAAATCATGCTTTCAACTATACATGTTAAAATAGTTTCAAAAGTGGTCTATTGACTCACCTTGAAAAGTCAATTGTTACAAATAGGTGAAACTTTAGTTGAGTGAAGTTCTTGTACTTTCAATCGTTCCTTACATCCAATAATTATTATAATCAATACTTAGTCTAGAAATTGCATAGTAATTATTCTAGACTATTTAGAAACTATTCGAGTTCCTCTAAATCTCATTTTCTAGATTAAGGTTATTGCTTTCTAAATACCCATGTTTTTAAAGCCATACATTTTTTATCTTTACGTTAGGTGCAAATGATGCAATTTTTTTGAGACTTTTCCCTTTTTCATTAAGGGATAAAGTTAAAGTATGGTAGAATGCACTCCCTATTAGATCCATCACAACATGGATGACCTTGTTCAAAAATTTCTTGCTAAGTTTTTGCTTCTAGCTAAGAAAGTGAACATAAGGAATGATATCACATCATTCATGCAACTAGATTCTAAATTGTTGCACGAGGTTTGGGAAAGATATAAAGACCTACTTAGGCATTGTCCCCATCATGGTCTTCCAAAGTGGCTTCAAGTGTAAACATTCTACAATAGATTGAGGGGTCATGTTCTAACCACCATTGATGTTGTTGCAAGAGGAGCTTTAATGGAAAAGTCAATTGATGAGGCATACGACTTATTAAAAAAGATGGCATCGAACAATTACTAGTGGCTAGCAGAGCCATCAATGCAAACGAGAGTAACTAGAGTTCATAACATGGATGCCATTATGACATTATCAGCACAAATAGCAACTTTAACTAAAAAATATGATTCTTTTAGTGCTAACTCAGTTTAAAGTCCTTTTATAGTTTATGAGTATTGTGGAGATGGGCATCCTAGTAATTAGTGTCTAAGCAATACAAAGAGATTTCAATTTGCAAAGAATAGGTAGCAAAATAACCCATATTCCAACAGTTATAATCCCAACCAGAGTAATCATCCAAATTTTTCTTAAAGTAATAATCAAGGTTCTTCATTAGCTCTAAGGCCTAATTTCCCTTCCAAATTTCAACCTCAAGCAAGACCTCTTATGCCAAAAAAAAACCATCTAAGGAGCAGTTACTTATGGAATACATGGCCAAGATCGACTCTTTCATTCATAGTTAGGCAACCTTGCTCAAAAGTCTTGAGACTTAAGTTGGACAATTGCCAACATTATCAATAATAGGCCTTGAGGTACATTACTTACTGACATAAAAGTTAATCTAAGTAGGGAAGGTAAGGAACAATGCAATGATATTACTCTTAAGAGTGGAAAAGAGGTTGGAATTAGTAGCAAGCAAATTGAACATCAAGTTAAGTTAGTCAAGAATGAGATAGTGGTTGAGAATGCTGACAAGCTAGTTCAAGTGAAGGATACAAAGGCAAACCCACCACCATTTTTTCTTTAACCCTTTTAAAAACAAAAGTTTGATCCTCAATCTAGAAGTTCTTAGCAGTATTTAAGAAGCTTCACACCAACATTATTTTTACTATAGCTTTAGAAAATATGCGAAGCTATGTGAAGTTTTTAAAAGACATTTTAACTAAGAGTAGGAAATTAGAAAAGTTTAAGACAATTGCAGTTATTGAGGAATGCAGTGCTATAATCCAAAATAAGCTTCTGCCAAAGCTTAAGGATTTTGAGAGTTTTTCTATTTCTTGCACTATTAGTAGTTTTAAAATTTTTGAAGCTTTGTGTGATTTAAATGCTGGTGTTTCAATAATGCCTTTGTTTATTGCCAAGAAACTTAGATTTAAGGAGATTCAGCCTACATAGTTACCTTGCAATTAGCAAACAAAACCATTAAGTACCCTATTGGGACTGTAGAGGATGTGTTGGTTAAAGTTAGGCATCTCTACATTCCAATGGACTTCATTGTGCTTGAGATGGAAGAGGATGTGGAAATTCCTCAAATCTTGGAACAACCATTCTGGCTATTGCAAGCACAATCATTTATGTGAAGGAAAGCAAGATAACTTTTAAAGTTAGAGAGGAGGTAGTCAAATTTAATAGTTTCAATGCAATTACGCATCTTGCTTATACAAATAGTTGCTATAAAATGGATTTAGTTAATGAAGGTTGGGGTAAGCTTGTTTTCCACTTACAAGTAAGCAAGCACCAATCTTTAAGTTAAAGCCACAACCTCCACATATCAAAACTAAGCAATCGCATGAAGAAATTTTCCACCACCTCCCAATTATCTTGATTTTGAGGTTGGATAGTAAGTAGTACTCTCTAGTTCATGGCTTCATCTTTTACCATGGCAACTTCAACCATATTGGTGGAAAACCTTTAAAGTGATAAAGGTTTTGTCTTCTGGCCTTATTGAGATTTCTAGTATGCTTACTAAGCGTGCAAGGTTAATAAACAAAGTCCCAAGCCTTACTCTATGGATGAAGAATTGCAAAAAGGGGTGCCATAGTCAAGCTAATGACTACATAGAATCACATCTTTAGAGGCAACCTAAATTTTTAAAACTCATACTCATTTTATTTGAAGGTTTTTTTTTTTAGATTTTCCCATTAATTTATTTTTTTCTTTTTCTTATTTAGAATTTTGTCACTTTAACGGATCCTCCTAACAACTTTGGATATAATGAGGATGAAAAGGAAGATTAAAGGATCTCCGCTACCTAGGGGAGTATTCTTGACTTTGTCTTTACTTTTTAACATTTAGGACAATGTTAATTTTAAGTTTAGGGGGGGGAATTTTCAATTTTAAGCTTTGTTTTCTTGATTGTGAATTTATGGATTTAGCTCTTAAGTTTATAAAGTTATTTATCATTTAATTTGTTGCATGTTTTAAGAACTTGAGCTAGATTTAATTGCACCAATTTCTTTTAATTTACATATCTAATGATGAAAACCTAGCTATATTTTTATTTTGATTCTTTGAAACACATGAATATTGTTTGAGCATTATGTAAATTCTTATGCTAAGCTTCATGGTTAAGATGAAATTTCTACAACTTAAGCAACATTTTTTTTGCTAAGTTTCATTGCACATATCTAAAAAAGGTTTATGTGAATGTGAAATTTTGAATTATGGCTAGAATTCTAGAATCTATTTGATTCTCTCTCAAGATGAAATCTTAGACTATACGTAGTGAAGGAGATTATATAAGCCATCTTTAGACCGTTTCAGCCTCCAAGCTAACCTTGCTATATATACATTTATCATTAGAATTCCCTTTTGAGCCTAATGTAACCTTTTCTTTATTTAAACACTTAATTATTAGCCTAAACCTTTCCATAAAAATTTCCAACTTTTGCATCCAACATTCCTAAATGTAGAAGTCAATTTAGGAAATGTAATGACCTAGATAATGAAAAGGTAGTAAAGATGAAAAATGGTAAAAGATCAATAGTATGATTGTATTCATTTTACTACCTAATAAAAGAAATAGGTTTGGGGGTGCAATATTAAAAAAAATAGAAAAGAACAAAATAAGAAAAAGAATGAAGTGTTGAACAAAAGGAAAATTTTATAAAAAAAAGGGTGAAATTGGTGAAGGAGAATGAAACTCTTTATAGATCCTAAAATGACTATGTGCTTAGGGTGATTTTAGCTATATAATATCTCATATCCTACATTGACCCTAGCCATACTATATAAGCTTGATAAAGACTTAACGATCCTTAATTTAGTATTAGTCTACATTAGTAGAGGGAGAAATGAAAAGCAAACCTACTGAATTTCAATACTAATTTGAATTTTGCATGTGTATAAACTTATCCAGATTGTATAATGTTCTAGGTGAATAGATTTTGCACACACATGAAAATTCATTTGACATTAAGTTTGCATTTGAATTGAAATATGAACTTGAATAATATTAATGTGTTGAGTTGAGAATATAGATTAACTTATGATGTTATTAAAGGTGATTGTTGAGTTGGTGCAATTTATTTCTATTTCAATTATTTTCTTCATTTATGTTATTGCATTTTAGTTTATGTTTTGCTCTAGAACTAGCAAAATCTTAAGTTTGGGGGTGTGGTAGCTCTATTGTATAGAGTTATTTTGATACATTTTGAGAATTTAAGTAACTAGGTCTTTGAGATTTTAGGTTCAAATTTTAGTATTTTAGGTGTTTTTCTTAATTAAGCTTAATTACATGTTGATTAGTTTAATTTAAGTATTGTTAATTAATTTTATGTTATTTTGTTTGGAATTACTTTAAGTATAGTTATTGTTGATTTCTCTTATGGTTCTTGTAGGAAATTCAATGAGAAACGTTTATTTGATGAAAATCCATGCAAGTACGGTAATGACTTTATTCATACATGTTGTAGTATTTTAAGGATAACTTGAGCTACAGATGTCCAACTGATGTGATTCTTGAACCATTGGAAAGATAAGAGACAAAACTACAGTTCTTATCTTCACTACTTCACTCAGGTTGGAATAGATTAAGATGAAAACCATGTTGGAAGAGGCTAGATTGCTATAGTTTTGCACAAGGCAGCACAAGGGAATGAAGGTTATGACCTTGACTTACTCAAGGTTGTGGTGCTAAGTGCATCAAGGCACCATACTAAATCTAGACAGTACAAAGCCATAATGCTGGTGGAAGTAAGGCTCCCATAGTAAAGCCAGAGAGTATAGCATGGCGGCATTGAAGAGGGGAAGACTACAGCATTAGAAGAATAAGGCACACCATACTTCAAATAGAGGCTAAGGCACTGCAGTGCCAAGGAGACTAAGGTCACAACACCAAATATATTCCCAAAGATAATCTGTTAACAAAATTTTAGAAATAAGGGTTTTTTAAAGCCTATTTAAAAGGCTTTTCTTAGAGGTTTTCAGAGGAGGACAATAAGTAACTATTCTGAAGAAAAAAGAGTTAAAAACAAAGTAAGAAAGACGGAGAATTTGAGAGAGATTTGAGATCAAAAGCTTCAACTATTAGTTTTT